CCCCACCTCTCGCCGTGTTCTGTCCTCCCAGGACGTCACGTTTGATGAGTCAGTCCCCTACTCTTCCCCTACCGCACTCCGTCCCTCCCCCCGCCCCCGCTCTTCCTTGTACCAGGTACCCCCCAGGTAGACCCCCTCCCCCCTCAGGGTCCCGCCCCTTCAGGTGTGTCCCAGGTAGACGCAGTCGAGCCTGTCGAGGTCACTGGTGACTCTGGTGCTGCGGGAGGTGCTGAGCCTGGGGGTGCGGAGCCTAGGGGTGTTGAGCCTGGGGGTGCTGAGCCTGGGGGTACTACGCCTGGGGGTGCTGAGCCTGGGGGTGCTGAGTCTGGGGGTGCTACGCCTGGGGGTGCTGAGCGTAGGGGTGCTGAGCCTGGGGGTGCTGAGCCTGGGGGTGTTGAGTCTGGGGGTGCTACTTTTGGGGGTGCTGAGCCGGGAGGTGCTCCGCCTGGAGGTTCTCCTGGTGCTTCGTCTAGCCGGGAGCCACTCTCTCCACAGGAGCTGCATGATTGGTTTGCCCGGCGCTGGCGCCGGACTGCTGGTGCTCGAGGTTCTTCGGCTGCTGAGGGTGCTGCTGTCGCGGGTCCCGGAGGTGCTCGTACTGGGAGTACTGGAGCTGCTGGGCCTGTAGGTTCGCCTGGAGCTGGTGCTGCTGAGGGTGTTGGCGCTGAGACTACCGCTAGCGGTCCTGCTGGGGGTGCTCCTAGTGCTGCTGGAGGTTCTGGAGCTGCTGGAGGTGCTGCTGGAGCGAGTGCTCCTGCTGGGGGTACTGGTGCTGTCCTTGCTGCTTTTGGCGTCGCCACGCGGCCTCGACCGTACTTCGTTCCACTCCTGCAGCAGGTTCTTGGTCTTCCACCTTCTACTGGTCCTCCTCCTCCCTTAGAGTGTCCACAGCCTGTCCCGTCACGGTTATAGTTGCAGCCTACCTTCCCTTTGCCTGCTCCTTCTCCCTACGCTGGTCCTACTGGAGGTCTTGCTGAGCATCGTGAGCCTGCGTCTCGCCCTACGTCGCCTGTCCGTCCTGCTCGCGCTAGTGGTCGTGGTTCGCGTCCGCGTCCTCCTCCTGTCCCTGGCACGCACAGGATGTCTCTGCGTCCGTCTACTGCTCCTCTGCGTGCCCCTTTGCCTTCTCGTCCTGAGTCCTCTCTTCCTGCTCTTGCCGACCTGGAGTCGGACTCTCTTCGTGCTGCCAGTCCTACTGTCACGCGTCTCCTTGCTACTGTCGTCACTGACCCTTCTTTCGAGTCCACTGCTGCGTCTGCCCTAGTTGCTGAGCTCGTCGACTTTGCTGCTCGCTGTCGCCTAGACTACGCTGCTAGTCTTGTCGCTGAGTCTGAGTCTGTCTGTCCTCCGTCCGTCGGGGGTGAGTGTGCTCTTGGCACGAACGTCCTTGAGGACAGGCAGGAGGAGTTCCAGTGTCTGGCAGCTGCTTCACCTCATCTCGTGTCCGTACTGCACTTGATATCCCGACTCCGCGCTCTTACGCGGAGGCCATAGAGGGTCCCTACTCCTCTCAGTGGCAGGCAGCTATGGATGCAGAGATGGCTTCCTGGAAGTCCACAGGCATCTACGTTGACGCTGTCCCCCCTCCTGGGGCGAACATCGTCAGTGGCATGTGGATCTTCAGGGTGAAGCGGTCGCCGGGTTCTCCGCCTGTCTTCAAGGCGCGTTACGTGGCTCGTGGCTTCAGTCAGCGGCAGGGAGTTGACTACTTTCATACCTTCTCCCCCACCCCGAAGATGACAACTCTTCGGGTACTGCTGCACGTTGCTGCTCACCGTGACTACGAGCTGCACTCTCTCGACTTCAGCACAGCTTTCTTGCAGGGCAGCCTGCACGAGGAGATCTGGCTGCGCCGCCCACCTGGCTTCACTGGGTCTTTCCCTCCTGGTACCTAGTGGAGTCTCCTGCGTCCAGTCTACGGTCTCCGCCAGGCGCCACGTGAGTGGCACGACACACTGAGGACTACGTTTGCGGCTCTTGGGTTTGCTCCTTCTACTGCTGACCCGTCGCTGTTTCTGCGCACCGACACCTCTCTGCCGCCATTCTACATCCTCGTGTACGTCGACGACTTGGTCTTTGCCACAGCTGACACTACTGGACTCGCCTACGTGAAGTCCGAGCTGCAGAAGAGACACACTTGCACTGACCTGGGTGAACTGCGCAGCTACCTTGGCTTGCAGATCACTCGGGACAGAGCACGCCGCACCATTACCCTGACTCAGTCACACATGGTGCAGCAGGTCCTTCAGCGCTTCGGCTTCACGTACTCCTCGCCTCAGGCCACTCCTCTGCCTACTCGCCACTCACTCTCAGCTCTGCCTTCGGATGAGTCCGTAGAGTCGAGTGGCCCGTATCCAGAGCTTGTTGGCTGCCTCATGTACCTGATGACCTGCACACGACCTGACCTTGCATACCCTCTTAGCATTCTTGCACGCTATGTTGCTCCTGGGAGACACCGACCAGAGCACATGGCTGCAGCGAAGAGGGTGTTGCGCTACTTGTGCAGTACGTCGGGCATAGGGCTAGTGCTTGGAGGGCGGAGTCTAGTGGTCCTCACTGGGCACGCGGACGCTTCTTGGGCTGACGACCAGGCTACGCAGCGGTCGTCACAGGGTTACACCTTCAGTCTTGGTTCCGGCTCTGTTTTGTGGCGGGCTACTCGCTCGTCTTCTGTTCTCGGCTCCAGTTGTGAGGTTGAGATCTACGCCGGGGCCATGGCTGCACAGGAGCTTCGCTGGCTCACCTACCTGCTGACCGACCTTGGAGAGCCGCTTCGTTCTCCTCCAGTCCTGTACGTAGACAACAAGGCCATGCTGGCCTTGTGTCGAGAGCAGAGACTGGAGCACAAGACAAAGCACATTGCTCTTCGCTACTTTCTTGCTCGTGAGCTACAGCAGCGTGGTCAGTTGCGGCTTGCGTACGTCGCCTCTGAGGCCAACACTGCTGATGTTTTCACCAAGGCACTTCCGCCTTGTGATCATCAGCGCTTCTGCACTCAGCTGGGCCTTGTCCCTGTCTTGCCTCACTTGCTCACCCCTTGACCTTGCTTGTACTGTTACATATATATATACCTGCTCTTGCTTTTCTAGCCTTATATATATATGTACTCCTGCATGTGAACTGGCCTTGTGGCCTTGAACTTGTGCTCAGAATGTGTGGTGACATTGTGATCCACCCTGAGCTTGCTTTGCTTTGCTTTGCTTGACCGGTCTTGTGACCACTTGTTCTCCCCCACTTTGCCTATGGGGGTGTGTCAGAACATTATAGCTTATACTTTTGAGTAGGCTGTAATGGGGTATCCCATAGGGAGTACAACCCAATTAGGGTTAGTACTTGTACCCACTTCATTCATAGTTCATTCATTCTCGTTTCAATCTTCTCATAAGGAATTTGCCAATTCCTTACTGTAGCCTTGCCTTAACGGGTACAGCTCGAGCACTCCGCGTCAGGTGGCTCGGCCTACATTTCCGCACCGAACCAATACCGAGTCGCCCCGCACCAATCGCGACACATCCAAACCATCCACGTCCCGAGGTACTCGCCTAGCACGGTTTCGACCCTATAAATGCGTGCTTCTTTATCATTGTTTCGGGAATTCACTAATTCTGGAATTCATCCTGTTTATAGAAATCTTCCGCGCACTCTGTCTAGTAAAACTCATAACAAAGCCTTTTAATTAGGGTAACCAAATTTATGTAGGCTCCGCATAATCAGAACTGGACCACCGCGTACAGCGTGGGAGGGATGACAAAGTTCGCCAATGGGTTTTGTGTCTTTTCTTGACAAGGGGTGACCACAGCGACAGCGACCACATGTTGTCAACCCTTCCAATGGACAGGGAAGGGAATTCACCCCGTCTCTCCCTCCCACCTTCGAATCGAACCCGCCCACGAGCTCAAACCCAAACCCAGCATCATGCTGCTTGTGCCGTTTTGAGCTCAATTTAATACTGTACTGAACGTGTAAGACTGTGCCATCCCCCTACCATTACAGCAGACTGTAGGGTACTGCTCCGGTCATGGAAGAAAGGACGTTTTGCTTGTTTTATTTCAAGGACCTCAATTCGGGGTGGCATGGCTGACAGTCATCCTTAGGACGTGGCTCAGACCGCCTTTGATCGGCACTGATCTGATCGGGTCTGATCTGATCGGGTTGCTTGTGATTGCATTTCTCGCGGCGCCCGATCAGTGCTGTTATTCCAGGAAAATTCAAGGCGAGTGCCCGGCAGGCGCGTCAGCATTTCCTTATCCTTTCGTCCCCATTTTGGCGAGAACGAAGACATAGCGAATTAATCGTTTCCATGTAATGTCGCAAATTACACTTAACGAAATCATGCACGAGGGCTTGACGAGCTTAACGATAAAATGTAACAGTTTCGTAAGTGTCGCCAAGATCCCCAATCACATCCAATTAACTGATTGAGACTGATTGTGTGTGATCGTGATTGATTGGGGTGTTTTAGGCGGTTGATCGAGTTGGGACGATCAGCTGATCGCGATCAGCTGATTGCCCCTGATTGCCTGAAATTGGCCTTGGGGTTTTTTGGAAGTTGCTGATCGCCCCTGATCGAGGCAATCAGAGGCGGTCTAGGCCACGTCCTTAGGAAAGGATGACTACCACGAGGGAAGGATGGACCCTTTCAGCTAATCGCAACCGTCCTTTCACCTTCCCTTCTGACCCCAGGCCACGTTGGATCATTCTCCCTCCTACAACCAGGGGGTTTGTTTCCCCATTCAACCCCTGACACCTTTTCCCACCTCAGTCAAGACGCACCTCTCAAGTCCATTCCAACTCATTTGCACTCAAATTCCACTTTTTATTTCAGGAAACCGCATCACAGGAAAGTTGTAGCTACTCCCATTTGTCTGTCACTCTTTTCATTTCCCCACAACACCATTATCGACACTTCGTAATTGCCTCAAATGGCGCCTGCTGCTAAATCCAAGCCAGACAAGGAGGAGAAGCAGAAACCAGATCGGGCGGACCAGGTGGCTCGGCTGATGGGCTTGCTACATCGCGACCACACGAAGCCACACGACCCTCCGCCGTCCGACGAGGACAACGACCAAGACGACGCCCCTGCCGCCGCCGACAAGCCTGCCGGCCCTAGCGCGGCGGCCAGCCGCTCCTCCAACAGCGGAAGGCGGCCGGCTCCTGAGAGCGCTGACGGATCGTCAGCGTCGGCGCGGCGCGGCAGCGCACCTCCCAGCCCGTCGCACGGCATGGCGCCGTCCGTGTCGTGGGAGGGGCAATGCGGTTCGCGAGGCGCAACCGCGGAGTCTCCTCGCTACGCGAACGCGCCGCCGCAGCAGCCGCAAATGCGCGGCCGCCCACGTCCGCAAGCAGTTCAAGCGCCGTCGCCACGTGGCGCTCAAGCCGTCTCACGGTCCTTCAACGACGGCGGGGCTGAATCCCCGCACACTCCGCCGGACCAGCCCCCTCCGCGCATCGGCCCAACAGCCTCGTCGCCGCACTCCGGCGCCGGGCCGCGTGCGCTGCCGCGGCCCAAGACCGGGGAGCAGCTTCAAGGCCCGCCGCTGCCGTCGCCGCGGGGAACGGCTTCCCCCAAGACGTGGAGCAGCAATCCCGACGGTGCCGCCCCGGGGCACGCCGCGCCGCGAAAGAACCGAGCACCTTCCATCCGGGTCGAAGGGTCGGCGGGCGACGACGGCGAGGGGAGGTGTTCAGGCCCCCCCGTCGCTAGTAGCGGCGGTACAACGCCGAGGGGCGGAGTGGCGCGGCCAGGTTCATCGACGGGTCGTCGCGAGCCCAACCGCGCGAGCAGCATGGGCGATTTCCCCGACGCCCGCGTCGCCGACGGTGGCACCAGCGGCGCTCTCATGCCCCCACTGTCGCCCCTCGGCAGCGCAGCTGGTGGCGCGCGATCGGCGGCAGGCGCGCGCGGAAGGCGCGCGGTGACGAAGCACGCGAGTCTGGGTAACCAGGAGTACGATCGCATGCACGTCGCCACCTCGCCGGGCCCGGGCAACCCCAGCCTGTCGCCGCTCAACGCGCCCGCCGTACCCTGGGCAGGCGTGAAGCAGGCGGCTGGCGGAACGCGCGCTGGGCTCACCCCGGGTGCCTCCCCGCCGAGCGGCGGAGACATGGTGAGGGCAGCGGAAGGCGCGCACGGGGGAGCCCGGAGGGCGTCGAAGCACATGAGCCTGGGGAAGGAAGACTACCTGCGCATGGAGGCCGCGGGCAGCGGATACCTGCCCTCCCCCTCCCCGCCGCCGCCCCATGCCCGCGCCTCAGCCGGCCCTGGTGCTGGCGCTGCTGGTGCGGCGGCTGCTGGTGGTGCGCATGCCGGCCGGGTGAAGCCGGGGAGGCGCGCGAGCATGGGCGCGGATGGCATGGAGGCCATGATGCGCGCAGCGGCGGCGGCCGCCAGCGACGGCCGGCGCAAGAGCGTCGATGACACGGCGGCGCCGCCCCAGGGCTGGGAAAAGTCCTGGATAGGCGGCGGCGAGGTGAAGGGTGGTGAGAGGCGGAGCGAGCCGGGTCGCGAGCGAACGCGCAAAGAGCAGAGAAACGAGGCGGAGGAGGGGAGGAGAGCGGGCGAGGAGGGCGGAGCGGAGGGGGGAGCGGCGGACGAAGTCGTGGGGGAGGACCCATGCGGCAGTCCCGTTCTGGGCGTGCAGGGGCGCGCGGAGGAGGCGGCGTGGGCGGAGGAGTCGGCGGAGAGCGTGGGGGCGCGTAGTGGCGGGGAGGTGTCCGCGAGGGCGGGAAGCGGCAAGAAGGGCAGTCTGGCGCGGAGCCTGACGGAGGACGAGGAGGCGCGCGACGAAGCGCCGGCTGAGCGGCCGCGCGGGAAGTCGAAGGCGCAGGCGAGTCCCAAGGCGAGCCCGAAAGGGCCGAGCGGGCGACGGCTTGCGCGGCCGATGGAGGAGGACGAGGGCGCGGAGGACTCGGGCGGAGCGGCGAAGGCAATGACGGGCGGGCGGGGGAAGGCGGCAGCGGAGGCGAGGGGCGCAGGGAAGGGGCGAGTGAAACCGCGCAGCATGGAGGCGGACGAGGGGGGTGGCGAGGGCGAGTGTCAAGGGCGCTCCAGCGAGAGAACGGTGAGGGGGGAAGACGCAAAGGGCTTGGGCGCAGGCTGTGCGAAGCGGGGTAGCCTGGCGCGGAGCCTGCGGGACGACGACGAGGAGAAGGCGCGCGCGGTGGGGAAGGCGGGAGGCAGTCTTGTGAGGTGCCTGTCGGACGATGAGGAGGAAGACGCACATGCGGTAGAGGCGAACAAGGCTAAGGGGCGCGTGAGGGGTGCAGAGAGCGAGCAGCACAGAGCGGCCGGCGGAGCGAAGCAGAAGGCGGCGAATGGGATCTCAGGCAGGAAAGGCGGCTCGCTGGCGCGGAGCATGACGGAGGATGAGGATGACGATGCGCCTTCCCCACCGCGTGCAGGCCGCGGGGAGGGCAAAGGCGGACGGGGCGTGCAGGTGAGGGAGCAGGCGACGGGGAAGGCGCGGGCAGAGGGGGCGAGCTCAAAGGGGCGGGCGAGAGAGGAGGTGGAAAGTGGAGAAGGCGTGGCGGCGGTGAAGGCAGGAGGCAGCCTGATGAGATGCCTGTCGGACGATGAGGAGGACGCGGATGCAGGGAAGGCGAGCAAGGCCGAGGGGCACTGTGAGGGGTGCAGAGGGCAAGCAGCACAGCGCTGCTGGCGGAGCAAAGCATAAGGCGGTGATTGGCAAGTCAAGCAGGAAAGGTAGTTCACTTGTCCGGAGCATGACCGAGGATGGAGACGATGAGGCAAATACGGGCGCGGGGCGGGGACATGACGGCGGAGAGAGCAAAAGCGGACGTGAGGTTGCGGGGCGGGGCGCGCAGGTGAGGGAACAGCGGAAAGGGAAGGTGCGGGGGGAGGGGGCGAGCCCAAAGGGGTGGGCGGGAGCGGAGAGAGAAAGTGGAGAGGGTGTGGCGCGCGGGAAAGCGGTGGGTGAGGCAGAGGAGGTCCGTGGGGACAAGGTGCGCGCGGTGGGGAAGGAAGGAGGCAGTCTGGTGAGGTGCCTGTCGGACGATGAGGAGGACGCGGATGCAGGGAAGGCGAGCATGGCTGAGGGACATATGGCGGGTGGAGAGAGCGAGCAGCACGGCGCTGGTGGCAGAGCAAAGCAGAAGGCAATGAACGGCACTTGTGGAAGAAAGAGTGGTTTGCTCGCGAGGAGCATGACTGAGGATGCTGACGAGGATGCGGATACGGGCGTGGCGGAGGGGCATGGTGGCGGGGAGAGCAAAGGCGGACGTGAGGGTGCAGGGCGGGGCGTGCAGGTGAGGGAGCGGACGAAAGGACAGGCATGCGCGGAGGGGGAGGGCGCAACCAGGCAGGCGAGAGGGGAGATGGAAAATGGAGAAGGTGTGGTGCAGGGGAAGATGGTGAGTGGGGAAGAGGAAATACATGGGGACACGGCGCATGGGGAAGGCATGGCAGGAGGCAGCCTTGTGAGGTGCCTGTCAGACGATGAGGGGGACGCACATGCGGCACAGGGGAGCACGGCTGAGGGAAGTAAGGCTGAGGGGCATGTGGCGGGTGGAGATAACGAGCAGCACGCAGATGCTGGAGGAGCGAAGCAGAAGGCGGCGAGTGCCAACGCGGGAAGGAAGAGCAAGCTGTTGATGCGCAGCATGACGGAGGATGAGAGCGAGGAGGAAGCGGAAGTGCCCGCCAAGCCCATGCCGGCCAAGCCCATGCCGGCCAAGGTTGTGGATGAGCCAAAGGCCGCAAGCCGGGCACAGGGGGCACGGGGAGGACAAGGTGGGGGCCGGGGAGCAGGGGTGACTAGGAGGGCTCCCCGTGAGGTGGGGCAGCGGGCAGGGCGGGGAGTGGCAGGGCAGCAGGGCCGGGCGGAGCAGGCAGCACAGATGGCACCCGCAGAGGAGTTGCCAGAGGCGCAGGGAGGCGAGAAGGAGAAGGGGAAGCGAGGCATTGGCGGACTGATGAGCAGGCTCAAGGTCCTTGCCATGTGAACCAGGGCGGTTATAACCAGCTCCCCTTGTACCGCATTCCCCCGATATACCGCCCAGGGGCGTTTAGGGGTAATGGGTAGGGGGGAAGAGAGAGGGTGGGGATTTGTTAGTCATAAGAGATTGGATTACCGTAAAGGGAATCAGTTTTCCTTAGCAGAAACGAAGTTATTGTGTACTGGCAATTGGGGCACCTTAGCTTCAGTATTCTTGAAAATGTTTTCGCATTGAACAACTCCATATACCGTACTGTACCTGGTCAGCCGTCTGAAAAATACCGCAATTCGCTGCATGGCAAATAATTCGTCCAGCCAATCATCTACAGCTGAAGTTTTCTTGGTAGCAAACGGTATGGTCCAACATACCAGTAATACCGTATGGCCCCGGATATAAGCGCAGGCCTATTTAAGGTGTATGTGCTTGTATCTGGAGCAATGCGCTTATGACCGATCCTCAATTATAAGCACACCCGTTGAAAAATCGATACTTACCGTATACTCCCGGACAAAACACCCCCCCATAATTGTACACCCCCGGGTCAGGGCTGGCGTTTCAAATTCAAGCACTCTGATCTTCACCCCCAAAAAAAAAATTACTCTGAAGGCACTTCGGCCAGAAATGAGGCACTCTGATTGGTCAGTGCCCTGAAGTCAGACAGTCTGACCAATCAGGGTCGGCGGATCCGCATCAGGGAACATGATCAGCGCTGCAGGATACTTGTGTGATTTGTCGCATTTTTCCAAGTGTCGCGTGAGAGCCAAATTTTTTGTCGCTATTTATAGCAATTGTTTGTCTGTGGCTTGCTCTGACTGTTCCAGTTCATGTGTGATGCTAGCAATGCAAGGGGCACTTGTTGCGTGACTTTGGAAGTGCCAGCAAGCGAGCTGCCTCGCAGCTGAGCTGGCAGCAGTCAAGAACAGTCGCTTGGTGCGGGAGAACCTGGCAGTGCTGCACGTAACTTGTTCGGCAGCGTTGTACGAATCAGCAGCGAAATCATTTTCTGACCAGCCTACACCTTGGGTGCACCAATCTCTTTCCTTTTCATTGAGATTTCGGTGATTGTCACACGTTTTGGCACGGAGAAAAGTCTCGAAGCACCAAACATTGCGATATACCAAATGTGTGGAGAACTTATCTTCCAACGATTCTTTGTTCTATTCGCCGATTTGTTGAGCAATCGGCTAGATTTCCCAGTTTGGCTCCGTTAAATTTCCCGCTTCGACACTTACCATTAACACCATTAGCACTGCATGATGATCGTGAAGATCGAGTGCATTCGAGTGTCAAACAGCTGGTGCACCGTGCCTTGCTCACGTGCTGGCACTTTTACTGCTCAAAGTGGGTATATTTGAAGGAAATTTCCAAGAAGCTTTGTCTCGATAAACTCGCATCCAGGGACCACAGGAAGTTTACTCTGTAGGGTCAGACTCCAGAAATGTTTGAGTCTGAGTCCTATTACACTGAATCAGGGGCCATAAAACAATAAGTCTGAGGCACTCAGTGATGAAATTTTGACTACTCTGGAAATACATTTTTCACAAAGTGGATGGTCTGATTCGTCAGACTAATCAGACTAAATAGTCTGATAGCGTCAGCCCTGTCAGATGATTATATTGCTGATGCATATATGTAGGCTGTAGTGGGGTAGCCCATAGGGGGTACAACCCAATTAGGGTTGGTACTTGTACTTGTTTCATTTCATAGTGCATCATTCCTCGCCTCTATCTCAACATGGTATCAAGCAGGTTCCCTAGTGGGAACTGTTCCTAGGGCCCATCTACTATTCCGTCCTGCCCGGAGCGCGCTCTGCCCTAGCCCGAGTCGCGCTCGGCCCTTTTTTTCCTTTGGCGGCCCGATCGCGTCGAGCCGCCCGCGAATTTTTGGCGCGCCACCTACGCGGCCTCGTCGCGCCGCCCCTAGACGGCCGCGCCGCGTCGCGCGTGCCGCCCTTCCAGTCGCGCGCCGCCCCCCTCTGACCCTCGCGACGCCAGCGCCGTCTCTGACGGCCCCGCGATCGCCTGCGACGGCCCCGCCGTCCCCTCTACCGGCCCCTCCGCTGCGCTTGACGGCCCCGCCGTCCCCTCTACCGGCCCCGCCGCTGCACTTGACGGCCCCGCCGTCCCCTCTGCCGGCCCCGCCGCTGCACCCGACGGCCCCGCTGTCCCCTCTGCCGGCCCCGCCGCTGCTTCAGACGGCCCCGCCGCTGCACCTGACGGCCCCGCCGTCCCCTCCGACGGCCCCACCGCTGCACCTGACGGCCCCGCCGTCCCCTCTCACGGCCCCGCCACTGCACCTACCGGCCCCGCCGCTACCCCTGACGGCCCCGCTACTGCACCTGCAGGCCCCGCCGTCTCACCTGCCGGCCCCGCTTCTGTACCTGACGGCCTCGCCGCTTCACCTACCGGCCCCGCCACTACCCCTGACGGCCCCGCCACTGCATCTCCCGGCCTCGCAGCTGCATCTCCCGGCCCCGCCGCCCCAGCATCTGCGCCGCCCCAGCAGCCGAGCCGCCCCAGCAGCCGAGCCGCCCCAGCAGCCGAGCCGCCCCAGCAGCCGGGCCGCCCCAGCAGCCGAGCCGCCCCAGCAGCCGAGCCGCCCGAGCCGCCCGAGCCGCCCAGCAGCCGAGCCGCCGAGCCGCCCGAGCCGCCCGAGCCACCCGAGCCGCCCTAGCCGCCTGCACTGCCCTGTCTGGTGAGCACTGAGCTTTACTCTGCGCACTGCCCTCACCCTACTGCTGTCATGGCTACCCCCAGTGTCCTCACCTTTGACGCTGATGGGCAGAGCCATCGACTTTGACGTGTGGGTAGACGACCTGCTGCTTTTCCTTACAGTGCGACAGAGCTGACGGCCTCTCTCTCTTTGATCTCACCTCTGGTGCCTCTCCCGCCCCTGCTGCTACTGAGGATGCCACTGTTCGCTCACAGTGGGCCACACACGACGCTGCTGCACGTCTTGCTGTGCGTCGCCACCTCCCTCCCTCTGAGCGTGCACACTTTGGGTCGTACAAGAGTGCTCAGACCTTGTACGACGCAGTTATTGCACGCTACTCCACCCCTGCCACTGCTGCACTGAGCCGCCTCATGCTACCGTACCTCTTTCCCGACCTTGCTTCTTTTGCCACAGTCGCCGACCTCATTACCCACCTGCGCACTAGTGACGCTCGCTTCCGCGCTGCGCTTCCTGCTGAGTTCTGCGCCAAGAACCCCCCCCCCCCCAGTACTTCACTCTCTACTACATTGTCACCCGCCTCCCTGACTCCCTTCGCGGAGTCAGGGACGACTTACTCTCAGTCTGCCCCACCACTCTCACTGTTGACCTCCTCGAGAAGTCCCTCCTAGCAGCCGAGAAGAGCATTCTCGCTGTAGGGGCCTCTCGTGGTGACCCGCGCACCCCCATCTTTGAGGGGTGTTCCCCCTCCCCCCTCCTGCCCTCTGTCGCCTCTGCTGCTACGGCCGACCTAGTTGGTTTTGAGTCGGTCGGTGCGGCGTCTGCCCCCAGTGGGAGACGTCGCTCTGGCAAGGGCAAGGGGGGCAGGGGCGGTGGTGGAGGCGGCGGGGGCGGTGGAGGCGGCGGTGGAGGCAGCGGAGGAGGTGAGGGTGGTAGCGGGAGTGGTGGCGGGAGTGGGGGTGTCAGCGGCGGCAGTGGAGGCGGGGGCGGCAGCGGCGGTGGTGGTGGGAGTGGAGGCGGAGGCGGCGGTGGCGGCGGCGACGGTGGGAGTGGCGGTGGCAGCGGAGGTGGTGGCGGCGGCGGCGGAGGAGGCAGCGGCGGAGGTCGTGGCTCGTCGCGGAGGAGTGGTTCCGGTGGTGGTCAGCGCCAGCAGCAGCAGCGTGGTCAGGAGACCCTCTCCCCGCAGCAGCTCCGTGAGTGGTACGCTGCACGTCAGAGGGGTGGGGGTACTGGTCCGTGCACCTACGTCCTGCGCACTGGCGACCGTGCGGGTGAGCCGTGTGGTGGTCCACACTCCCCCCAGCGCTGCTTCGGCCGCCTGACTGACGCTTGGCGCCGCCAGTTTCCTGACGCCTCTGAGATCCCTCGCTGGGACCAGCTGTCTAGGGCAGGAGTAGCTATCTTTGATCTTGACTTTGATGCTATTCTTCGTGCCATGTATGCTGTGACTATTAGTGAGGAGGGTGACTGTTACCGGTGTTTCCCGCCCGACCCGGGCATTGGTACTGCGGCTCTAGGTGCTGTTGAGGCTGCTGCTCCAGGTGCTGTTGAGGTTACGACTCTAGGTGCTGTTGAGGCTGCTGCTCTAGGTGCCAGTGAGTCTGTGTCCCCAGGTGCTAGTGAGTCTGCTCTCTCAGGTACTGCGTCGGCTCCGCCCTCTCTCACCTTCACTCTTGACTCAGGAGCGTCTCGCTCCTACTTTCGAGACCGCACCACACTCACGCCGCTTAGTCGGCCAGTGGCAGTCTCCCTGGCGGACCCCTCTGGGGGTCCTTGTTCTGGCTTGCTACTCCACTGTCCTTCCGTGCCCTGCGGTCCCGTCTGGCTCCCTGTCCGGTCTCTACCTCCCCTCGTTCTCTACGAACTTGGTGGCGGGTGCTGACCTACAGGATGCAGGGGTTGACCAGTTCACCCCTGCGCGCCGACGGGACACCCACTGCACGGACGCGGACACGGGTCGACACTTGACAACGTTCACACGTGGGCCGGGGTCGAGCCTGTACACACTCACTGTTCCGTCTCCTCCTCCTGCGTCTGGTCAGGTAGCTGCGTCGGGTCAGGTGTTTGCTGCAGCGTCCAGGTCTGGTCCTGAGTCTGCCCCCTGCTCGTGTCGCCTCCTGTCCCACGAGACCCTCCTGTGGCACCACCGCATGGGTCACCCCTCCCTGCCTCGTCTCCGGGGCATGGCCTCTCGCCTTCTTGTCTCTGGTCTTCCCTGGTCCCTCCCTCCCCTTCCTCCGGGGCCTGGCCCTCCCTGTGTCCCCTGTGTCGAGGGTCGCCTGCGGGCTACCCCTCACTCCTCCCCGTTTCCTCCGACGGAGGCCCCGATGCAGACG